GGGCAAGACTTCAGAGTATGTTTGATGCCATATCTGGTAAAGGTAAGCAAATTTAATCTATAAATACATTGATTTTTAATTTAAGACTAACTATTCATTTGTGATTTTTAGCGGCTAGTCAAATAAATCCGGATGTGGTAATTCAAGCGGAAGAAGTAAATATTGTTAAACCTGTTGCATGTTCTGTCACTTGTGTGACACTTAATTCTTCAACTACTACAACAAACGTCAATACCACACCCATTTCTACATCGGCTGTAGCTCCTAATCCTGGTACTAGTGAATTCAATACAAAGTCACCAAAACACGTGACTTTTAATTTATCAGATAAAGATAGTTCCTCAAATACAAATGTCCATTTTGCTACTATATTTAAGAGTAAAAACGAAAACATTTCGACTTCCGCAAGTAAAATAGATAATGCTGCACCCAAAATTACATTAACCAATACGAAATCCGAAATTATATCTCAATCTGTTATTTCGAATACAACTACATCCAGTCCAATAAGTTCGAATGTACAAACATTTAATTTCGATAAATCAGCTTCGGTTACATCAACGATAACTACTTCGCCAATACGTGCTGTAGATACAGTTTCTGCAAATAACAAACCTCTTTCAGTTATTTCTGCAACAACTAGCATTTTTGGAAATTTTATAACTACTACTCCAATATCTTCACCAGTTTCTTTGAACACAACTATAGCAAACGCGAAAACTGAGGCGAATCAAAATATCTCGAAATCAATTTCTCAAAGTACAACAATTGATTCAAATTCGAACGTATCGATTGGAAATAATAACATAATTTTCACATCAACTCATTCGAATTCAATGACTTCAAGCACTGTTGCAAAAACCAAAGAACAAAGTATAGAATCAACATCGATTGCTACTAAGATAAATATGACGCCATTTACGAGTATTACAAATGTTGCTAATTCGAATAATACATCGACTACAACGTCGACCATAACTACATCGATTGTATCTACATCAAATGTAACCACGTCGACTCCATTATTTACATTTGGAAACAACGCTAATAAACAAGTAATGACATCTAAATCAGAAGGATTTGTGTTTGGTTCAGTAGGAAAAACATCAGAAAATAATGGAGCGTTTGGGTGTTCGACTACATCTCAGCAGGTTTCAATAATTACTAACACAGTGATGACATCTTCGAATAATCAAAGTAATACGCAAACTAATTCTATCACGAATATCACAACTAGTACTGGTTTTCAATCGAATGCAAAAACTAGCATTCCTAGTTTTGGATCATCGACAAATTCGACTTTTGTATCTTCTACCATCTCATCTGCAAACGATAGCAAACCTGGATTTTCTTTCAATAATATATCATCAACAGCAAATACAGTGACTGGGAACTCAAATACAACTTTATTTACTATGGGAAATAATAATTCGAATTCGAGTTTCGGAACACCTTCTTCAATAACTAGTTGCAACACAGCCCAATTTGTTTCAAATACTGGTTCCATATTCACTAATTCACCATCTACGCAATCTATCTTTGGTGCAACGACGACAAATTCAAATCAATCAGTTTTTGGTACACCTTCCAGTTCAAACACCACAACAGCTATTTTTACTCTTCCTAAGAGCACAATTACATCAGTTTTTGGTTCCAATGTTTCCACTACTTCAACAGGATTCGCATCTACGAATTCAATGCCAATTTTCTCGAATATCGGTGGATCTTCTATACAAATAACAAATACAACTTCAATACCAGTGTTTGGTTCTAGTACAAGTTTATCCACTTCGGGAATAACCAGTGGTGGAACGAACAGCGTCGGTAGTAATTTGTTTTCAAATGTGAACTCAACTACTTCGGCATCTATATTTCCTACAACAAATAATATTTTTGGTCAAACAAATTCAACAGGGAATTTCAAAAATAATCCAGGAGTATTTGGAAATAACAGTGGTTCTGCATTATTCGGTTCGCATCCAACTACATCGTCTACATTTGCTACTGCAAATGTTTCAAGCAATTCTACTGTTTCTACTTTCGGTTCTACAAATATTTCCGTGAGCAACGCATCCGTCCCAACTTTTGGCGCTACAAATACTGTTACTTCTGATTTTGGATCACAAAATCAAAACAAAGGAAATTCAGAAGTTCAGAATTCTGATTCACAGAATTTTGGTGTCAGAAATTCAATATTCAGAGGCGAGAACACAGCTGGTCCCGTGTTCGGAGCTTCAAATAGTGGCACCAGTCATTTCAATTCTTCTGCATCAAATAATACATTTTCTGGACAGAATACCTCTATCTCATCAAATCCTACATTTGGTATGACAGCAACTGGTACTCCAAACGGTACAGCAACATTCGGAGACAACAAGATTTCGCCATTCGGATCACAATCTTCGACATTTGGAACTCCTAATATAACGAGTCCCACCTTTGGAAATACTAACGCGAATGAAAATAATACTACCAGCAATATATTCACTTTTGGGGCAAATCAAAAGCCACCACAACAAAGTACTACTGTATTTCCTTTCGGTACCAATAGTAATACTAACAATAATGCTGCTATTGGTGCAGCTGCTTCCACTTCCTCACCTTTCCAATTTGGCACAACAACGTCGAATTCAGGTAAGATTTTCCATTTTGATTGTATAATTATAATTTCTTCCTTTTCACAATTACTAATAATATAATGTATTTAAAATAAATCAGCTACAGGATTTAATTTCTCTGCTCCATCAACAACTCCATCCATTAATTTTGGAACAACGAGTTCTACATCAACATTCAATGCTCCCACACCTGGTATGTTCAGCATCGGAAGTGGTTCTACTGCTCCAAGATCCAGGAATATACGGACTAGAAAATTGAGATGATGGAGAATGTAAATCTTGCTAGCCTTTTACATAAAGTTCTTCATCGAAATACATAAACGCGACGTTTAATTTTTTAATAATGTTATTCTGTAATTCTAGCATCATAATTTCATAGATTCGTATCAAGTAATGTTTCAAATCGATGCAATTCTATTTGACTGAGAACAGAATTATAGAATAGAATTATCATTTTAATTTTACATTTTTCGCCATTGTTAAACCTATCCACCTTGTACATATGAAAATGTTAAAGCAGATTTTTATCTATCAGTGATTAAAGTTTGCTTAAATTGCATTATTTAGAATACATAATACATATATACATATACAAATACGCACATATATATATATATATAGAAAAATAAAACGCGTGATTGTTTTATTAAAAAAAAATCTAACATTAAAATCGTGTTCATTTATAGAACACTGTATATTTAACATTCATTGATCCAGTGATTGCAAACAAAATTATTATTTATTCTTACAAAGTACCAAGTTGATAAATATTAAAGATTAAACTTTTTATTTAAGTGGCATTTATAATATTCAATTAAAAAAGTAAAACTAAAGAGAATTTTGAATATGATATTATGATATTTAAATTTATTTTGCAAAAATGAAGAAAGTTAAACAAACGAAGTTTGTATATTTTGATAATGTAAAGAAAAATGATTTTCAGAAATCCTCGCTATTTCGATAAATATATTTTTAGATTTGAAAATTGAAATTAATATTGTTAATTCTAATCGTATTTTTTAAGTTCAGTATTCTTAAATTGTTTATAAATTTGATCAGTAGTAGAAATATTTATATTTCCCATTTGGTACGTATTTCGCATTCGAAATTAAAACTTATTCATTAAAACGACAATTATTTATCTTGTTTCTCCGAGAGAAACAAATAAATAATTAGAAAGATGAATGGATCAAAAAGAAAAAAAAATAATAAAAATAAAAAAGCAATTAAGAAAATTAATATTTGCTAATTAACATAAAATGAGAAAAATATTAGATATTCGTGATTCGTGAATCATATCCGATCAAGAAACATAAAATACTCAATGTGACATGAGAAGAATGTTATAGAAAGACAAAGTACATAAGTGTGATTTATTATGTCACAGTTATAAGAAATATTTAATTATTTTTTTCTATAATCTCAGACAAATGTATCTCCTTAACGAAACGTTATAAAATTTGAAAAATGAAATTTGAATAGAAATACGAGTATTATGTACGATTAGCGATCCATTTTATATTTGCAATGACAATCTTTCCTGACAATCTTTCCTGACAATCTTCGTCCTTGGTTGCTCATATATTAACGAGTTGCTCATTAATTGCTCACTAATTTCATTTTTTTTTATATATTTGCTATGATTTTATTTCATGATTTATCATTACATGAATTTCATTGTCAAATATTTATCAAATAGAGATTATACAAATAGTAAATGCATTTTTTCTCTCTACACATCTTATAGGTATTATATGTATTCTGGAAAGGATATGACATATGAAATTTGTCTAATATAATCAGTATCATGAATATGGTTATAATCGTGAAATAATTTAACTTTTAATATTGCTATTCTAATAACTGGGTTGAGTTTATATTGCAAAAATAAATAATTATTCTAATACACAATTTAACATATAATAATAATATTCATAGTTTACAAAATATGTTTAGATATGAAATGATGTTGCATTTCCGTTAAGAAAATGCTTTTGAATGTGATATAATAAATCGCATAAAATAAAAGAAAAAATCAGAGATAAAATTATAAAACTTTAATTACATTTTTATTTAATAAAATTCAAAATAATGAAGCGAGAAAATAAAAGAGAGAAGTTGGAATAAAATAGAATAGTTTGCAATCGGTATAGAGGATTGAGCAGGAGAGAAAAGGCGCGCGCGGTAAAAGGAGCAAGAAAGCACGAGAAAAAGCGAGCAAGCGAGAAAGAAATCAAGGAAGTAACGCGTGAGTTACGTCACGCGCGTTCCGTGAAACTCTAGTCAGGATTGGTCAAATGAGCGGTTTTGTTTGTGAGCCAACCTATCAGAGAGCTCGTTAGACAGGAAGGATGTTTGTACGGTCGCCTGGAGGCGCAGCCATGTTGGGAACATTAGAAGGGAACCAACACCACAACCAGAAAGACGGGAACATCTAGGTTCGGCAGCGGCGTGTCTTAACACCTTAACACCACCACCATGGCTGACCCGGAAAAACAGCCCGAACAACCAAAGGCTGGCCAGCAGAAGCTGATCATCGGTGAGTGAATAGTATATTTAATCTCAATATTATTTTTCGTGTATTGCGGCGGTGTAAAAATCGAGTAGAAAGAGAGCGGATTCGTTTCTCCGAGATCGTTTGCATGTAATAATGGCGTCTAGGGGAGCAGCAGACGTTCAGCCATGTGGCATGTGGCCGGCAAGCCGGTTACTATTTTTCTTTTTTTTATTTATATCTTTTCGAATTTTTTGCATAGAAATTGATTAAATTCGAAATTTATTCTTTCCCTACTTGTTTTCTTCTTTTTCTTTTTTATTTTATTCCGACTAAAATAACTTGCATGATAGTCTCATCGACTGCCGAGTTCTACTAAAATTTCTTGATTCCTAGAGAGAAAGAGGGAGAGAGGGAAAGAAAGAGACGCGTACATCAAAACCCATATAGACGCTTCAAAAGTATACACTCGCCTCGATTTCGTAGTTTTATTTTTTTTTTTTTTTTTTTATTTTATTTTTATTCTTATTCCTTCCTTTCATCCTATTTCTATTTGTATCAAATGTATATAAAATAATATAATCTGAAATTTAACGATTACATCATAATGTTCCAATTTCTGGAAATTTCTCTGCTGTTTTTTTTCCGCGCGTTCTCCATGTATTTTTCGTAAATCAAGCAAAACACCACTTAGTTACGTAAGTTTCCGACTGTCCGTTAACGTTCGCTTCCGTTTGAATGATTCGTTTTCGGAGCAAACCGGGCGCATTGCCATCAGCTTCCACTTTAGATTGGCCTCGCGAAAAGTTTTCTGCGAGTGAAAAATGAACTGCAATTTCAAGAGGTTATGAGGAATGAAAAGAAAGGGAAACGTGCACGCGCCTGCATGCATCAATATACCGTTATTTTACCTGATATTTTATATTTTGTATTTCACTTCAAACGCGCGAAATGTGAATTTTCAAGGCGTAAATTGTGATTTAAATGTAAATCGTTGATGGAAATCGTTAATGAACGAAATTCTAGAAATGTGAGCGTATTTTCATTTTTGATGAAAACATTGGTAATATAAAGCATTTGCTATGTGAACATTTAATCTAATAATTTGAATAGTTCGTTTTTAATTGTCATTACCATCACAATAATTAGTAAACACAAAGATTTCGAACATAAATAGGGTTATGAATATGATACAAAGTAAACAATTGTTATTATCATTTAATTATCGATCTATATATATATTTATTTACATATTTCGATTTTGAAATTGTTATGTTTAATCAAAAAAATAGAAATTTTTAATTTATCGTTAATATTGATATTTTTTTTTCATGTCATTATTTTTAATTATTTTTTTAATTATTGCTTGAAATGAATTTTTTGTAAAATGATCAAATACAAGATGACATATATTTGAATCGTTGAATTTCCAAGAAATAACTTAATCAAATTTAAGAATACGTTTATCGAATAATACCAGGTTGCGTGATGGTAGATATTTAATTAGTGCTATTTCGTTTTTGTTGGGTTTCAGCTAACAAAGTGACCGGGACTGTGAAGTGGTTCAACGTGAAGAGTGGGTATGGATTCATCAACAGGTTAGTAACGATTTGCTATTTACTGCGTTTACTTTTTTTTTTATCTCTTTATTTTTTTTCACTTTGTTTTTTTTTTAATATTCATTACAATATTTTTTTTTTCTTTTAATTTTTGAAATATTTTTATCATATCTATGGTATTTAATACCATTTATGGCAAATTAATATTCGAAATTAATAAGCATTTTAGTTTTGTTCTAGTTTTACATACTTCGATTTTGAAATTATGTTTAATAAAAAAAATAGAAATTTTTAATTTATCGTTAATATTGATATTTTATATTATATATATATTATATTATATAATATATAGATATATTATAGATATATTATAAAAAGATCAATCTTAAAGATAGATTTGACAAAGCGATTTAATTTTATTAATGCAGATTCATTTCTGATTTCTATTTGAACATTTTAATATTTATTACAAATAAATAACAGGCATTTCGTTTGACACGTGCATTGACTTCATTTATTCGTTCATGGTTCCTCTATCTTCGACTATTTCTAGTATTCTTCTATTCACTCTCTTCCCCCTCTCCTCCAAGCAACTATACCCCACCCCATACTACTTCTCTACTAATTCTTCCCTTTCTTCCTCTTCTATACTCTTCTCTTGTTGCTTCTTTGTAATATATACCGATATATATATATATATATATGTGTAACGATATAACGCATTATGCGTTTGGAAAGTAGCCAAAGCGTGTTGTATGTTATCGTGCAATGATGCGATTTTCGTAACATTGCAGTTAATAGAAGTTTACCCATAGATTGAAGAAAATATTTCGTGATCAAATTTTGCCACTGGTCATTCGCACCGTTGTTCGCGTTCATTGCGCGAATTAAACGGAATAATTTCAAAAATGGTGGTAGAGAAAATGATTGTCTGAATACCCATTGGATCGCACGTAAAAAATTTTAACATTCGATCCATGTTCTCAGACACACAAAATTTTCATATAACGAAACGATCTTGAAATTTATACCGAATCATAAATGAATTCGTTTTCTATAATTCGATTAATTGATAATCATATGAAATTTGTTTGATTTTTTCTAGGAATGACACCAAGGAAGACGTATTTGTTCATCAAGTAAGTATATTTAATTTTATAATAATTTAAAGAAATAAAGAATGAATTTAGATTGAATTTCAAATTTCTGATCGTGTTAATAATTTTCATAGTCAGCCATCGTGAAGAACAATCCGAGAAAGGCTGTACGCAGTGTCGGTGATGGAGAAGTTGTCGAATTTGACGTGGTAATAGGCGAAAAAGGTCACGAAGCGGCCAACGTTACTGGTCCATCCGGGGAAGCAGTAAAAGGTTCGCCTTATGCTGCCGATAAGCGACGCGGATATCGCGGAGGTCATTGGTACATCAGTCAAAGACGTGGGAACACTCGAACTCAACGCAGACCTAGAGAAGGTCAGGATGGTTATGAAACTGGTGTGTAATAAGTAATATAATGATATTGTCTTCTCGATCGAATTGATAATTTGTTAATCTGTTTTAGGTGAGGGTAAGACCGGGGACGAAGGAAACGTCGGCGAGGGTGGCGGACAACAACGACGTTACAGAGTTCGACGACAGTACGACGGCTACTATCGTGGATCACGCCGTTCTGGTCCGTCCGCGCAACAGCAAGGGGATAACTCTGGCGAAGGTGGCGAGCAAGGTGGCGAGACTGGCGGTGACGGTGGCGTGCCACGTGGTGGCGGCCGTGGACGCGGAGGACCTTCTCGTCGTTACTTCCGCCGTAATTTCCGTGGAGGAAGAGGTGGCGGACCTCCGCGTCGTCCTCGTAGCCAGGACGGCCAAGTAAAAGTCCGTAACAATTTTCTTTTGACTTAATTTATTTTCTTTGTCAATTTTCGCGATATTATCATCATTATCATCAAATTGATATTGAACCTATTCTTCGATCTTTGCTTTCTATCGCTCCAGTTTACGCGAGATCGTCCTATTTGGGTCTATTTCTCTATCAATCATATTTCAACATTTATTCTCTTATTTCGATTGGCATGAATTTCGGACGTCGATTAATGAAAGGGATTATTTAAGAGTCGCGACATTAACATCTTTCCGATCATAATAAATTCTGGTTACCGTTTCACCTAACCTAGTAATTTCGATAATCCTGCATGGTAGTTTTCGTAATCGTAGTCTACATCATCGTTCATAATTTAATAAAAAAACCTTTGATTTTCCTGCTAGATACAATAAATTCGTGGTAGATGTAGAGTCATGTTGATACTTTATTAACCGTTCAATGCATTATCGCTATCGCTCTTTCTAAATTTATGAAGAATTATTTTACTGCTGTATTGTATTTATCAAATTGAAATCGAATAATTGTTATTTTTAATTAATTATAAAGAGCGATACAAATAAGAATGATTGTTTGGATCGATTAGAAAATTAGAGTCCGAGATTTATGCATTGTCTGTTTTTCAAACCTTTTATTTTCTTTGTACGATACACTTGTAAATACGCCCATCATCATCAACGGATCGCACATACTACGTATTTCTTCTGCTCCTGTGTTTTATTCTATCGTATTTTATTTATATAATGTCTTAATTTAGTTGTTTGTAATTTGTTTCTTTCTTTGCATCTTTTTCTGTTTTTTCTTTCTCTTTCTCTCCTTTATGTCTGCTTCTCTTTATCTAGTTATTTATGTACATATGTACTAATAAAAAATATTCAGAGTAATATATATATTTATGAAATATCTTTATTGGATCGATTCTAGAAACCAAAATAAATATAAAAGTTTGTATATAAAAATATATATAATAATAAATGAAGTTTACTTATTAGGTTATAAACAATTTAAGCAATTTGAAGTGAGACAGAAAAAATGAGATCGCATTTTGTTCTCGTCTTGTTTCATCTAATAACTTATAAGTAAACCTTAATTGCTTATAATTAAATAAGCCTTAACTGATATTTTATATACCAACTTTTATGTTTGTTTTAGTTTTTGTAAAGATATCGATTCTGTAAAAGATATATTCTACTAATATAATAACACATACATATATATAAAATATTTTCGAAGCATAGTACAAAAGTGATTGGATGATGATTCTATATGCAAAAATAAATAAATAAAAAAAAAATAATCTGTTTTTTTCCAAGTAAGATTTTGTTTCTAAATTAATTTAGTAAATCAAATTTAAAAAATTTTCAAGTGCAAATGAAACTAGTTATTTGCCGATTAAATAAGAATGAATTATCGATAGAAGATAATTTTTCATATAAAAATAAGTAAAAAATATAGAATATATTTTTTTTCTTTAAAAATTAATTTTTGAGAAAATTGGATTTGAAAATTCGTCAATTAGATTCCTTGATTATAAATATTCAATCTCGTTTCTCAAAAATAAGATAAATATAAATGTAATGAATAAATATAAGTGATAAAATTTTTTTTATATCTTTTGTTTATTTCTATGTATTATTTCTATATATATGTAGAATAATCTATTAATAGTTCATTTCAATAGAATATTCAATAAGAAATTAATCAATTTTATTTTTATTTGAAAAATTTTTAACAAAATTTTTAAACATAATTGCAAATGAAAAAAATTTTTTTTTCGATTTATCTTTGCATGTAGAATTATTATTTTGTCATATGTACCATGATTTCCGAGACATTCTGTATATGTATATGAATTTTTTTTTTCAGTTAGTTTCTGTTGTATGATGCGATTGTTCGGTCCGTTGACGAATCTTTATCGTAGCGCTTAGCACACACTATTGCACGTATCTTTTTGTACTCTTTTCAGTCGGAGCAGAAGTCGGATGCACCTAAAGATAAGGATGCACTTGTCGATGTCCCTGCTCCACAGGTAACATGGCTTTATTTTTCTCTCTTCCTTCCTTCCTCCATATTCTTTCAATCGTATATTATCCTGTATTTTTCCTTTTTCACCTTTTTAACTGTTCTCAGTTTTGGCTCTTTTCTTTCTTTCTTCTCTTTAACACCTTGGGGTTAGTCTCTCTTGGTATCACAATAGCACCAATCCTTATCTGCTATGTTTTCTTGTGTTGTGTGATTCGTTGCTTTTCATTCGCGTTCTTATATTTGTACTTTTTTCAGTGTAAGGTTACTCATGTTTTATCATTGTGAATTGGCCCGGTTTTCTTCTATCTGATTACAATTAAACTAATTATTAAATCTTATTCGTTTGATTTGCAGGAAAGTCAGCCGGTCCAAAACACCACCACCGAAAGCACCGCTTAACCACAAGAGTAATGGTACCACTACAACAAAAACACTCCTTTTAATATATAACACCAACACCCGTTATACACTGAAGCAACAGCATCGACAACAACCGCAGCAGCAACAATGTAACATAACAATTGAAAAAGTTAAAAAAAAAAAAAAAGCGAAACAAAAAAGCAAGAAATGAAAAGAAATTATGAAATACTGCTCCACTCTCCCCGGCAGATAAAGAAGATTAAAAAGTGTGTGCAAAGCGCTGCCGGAATTATTTGATATAATACGCTGAAAAGTCTCGTCGTGAAGAAGAAAGTTTATCTTGGATCGACTACGAGCGAACAAACTCTCAAATTGAACTTATCGCCGTGCGATGATTTTTTATTGTATGAAAAATCGATAGATTTTCGAGTAAATTTTTTACTCGTTAAAATTCTATAGATTAAAAAAAAAAAAAAAAAAAAAAAAAAAATGGTCCAAAGAAACGCGAAATCGAAACTTAACCAATGCGTGTGATTCGATTCCGCGACTCGGAACGAAACGGCGATAAGTGATATATTTTGGAGTATTTCGTTGGACGGAGGCGGCGGTGAAGATGAAAAACGAAAATTGCGACTACAACGAATTTCGGTGTATACAAAGTTTTTAAAAGAGTAATCTCAATTGTGAAGGGAAACAACGAAGAGAGAAGAGAAGAAATACGGTGATGGGATAAAATACGAATTCGAATAGTGGTATTTTTGTTCTTGTTTTTGCGTATTCATTGTTCCATACGTTTTAATTTTTCTTCAACGAAACGCATTCGATCGTTTTACGTATATGTATATCTTTGAGTTTAACGCGATGTTCGCGGAGTTTTTCTCTTGTCGTAATCGGTAAATGCGCGCGTGAAATCATTGGAACATTGCAACACTACTACGCGCGCTTACCCGTGATTGTGCCAGCTTAATCGTTTCAGTTTCTCTCGAAATTATTCCGTTCTTTTTTTTTTCTTTTTTTTTCTTTTTCTCTCTTTTCCTCTTCTTTCCCTTTATTTTTTCGTCTTCATTGAAATGCAAGGTTTCGATTTCGTTTTGAAAATCAGTCTTTCGTCGTGTCGCTTTTGTCTCTTCGGTCCTCGTTCGTTCGTGACTTTGCATCGCAGTAACAAAAAAAAAAAAAAAAAAAAACGATTCGTTCAATGATTAACAACTAAACGCGATAGCAAATTATGCAAAATTTTTTGTTTAATTCTATATTTAGCGACGTGTTACAAACTGTCGATACTTTCACGATCGCTTGTACCAAATAACATGGTCGATACCCCAGGAGGGTATAACCTTTGAAGCAGATGAATGTATTATCTGACTTTAAGAAATTTAACGCGTTGTGAGTTAATCGGATTAATTATTTCGTAATTTTTGATAATGAATCGATAACGTTCGATTATCGTGTAAAAATTGTCACCGTTACTCGAACGTGTCGATTCTCTAAATTTTGAAAATGTCCTCTCAATTGACAATGCAAACCTGCGGTTTGTCAGTGAGTGAATGAACGAGTGAATGAATGAATGAAGAAATGAGAGAGAGAGAGAGAGAGCGAGCGAGAGCAAGCGAGAGAGAGAGAGAGAGAGGGAGAGAGAAAAAGAAAGTAAGAGAGGACGAAAAAATTTATACCATTTTGCATGGAAACGGAACATTTTTTTAAATTTCAGTTTGTAGTTTTATCGTCGGAAAATAAAGTGTACAATTTTCTTTCCAAGCGTTTTGAAAGTTACACGCGCAGTTTGTTGTGACACATTTTTCTTTTATTTCAACATGTGAACAAGTTATTTTTTAGTTTCCTTTTTGTTTTAATTTTTATTTGTTTTCCTTTTTGTCATCGCAATCTTAATTGGTCGCCATTGTCGTAATTGTCATCGCCATCGTCATCGCCAACGTCGTATGGTCATATTGCGATTTTCGATAAAAAAAAGATTTACACTCTTCAAATGTTTTTGCGATTGATCTTGGAATGCATAGTTGGGAGAAATATCAGAATAGAGCTGGGGGAAAAAAGAAAAAGAGAGAGAGAGAGAGAGAGAGACAGAGAGAGAGAGAGAAAGATAGAGAGAGAGAGAGAAAGAGTGTGTGTGTGTGTGTATGTTGAAATATAGCATCAAATATGAAACAGTATCGCCTGATCTCGCGTTCCTCCGCAGTCGATTGAAAATAAAAAAAAAAAGTGAGTATGAGGGAAGATGGTAGCGTGCCGGTTCATAAATAATTATACGAGGTTCGTCGTCTCGTAGTTCTTCAATCAGTATGAGCCCACGCGTTGTAGCGAGACGCGAATTAGCGACAAAAAAGAAGAAAGGATACGAAAAGTGTAAGACGAGAACCGCGAAGCACGCGTAATTTGACAAAGAACGTTATAATTGTACGAGAAAAAAGAACGATGCATGTGTTGAAAGTGAATATCGGAATTAAAAGAAATAGAAACAGAGAAAATGTACTAAAAAAAAAAAAAAAAAAAAAAAAAAAAGAAAAAAGAAAAAAAAGAAAAACCGAGCGGAAGTGTACGCGTGTGAGCGCAACAGGCAACGCGATGTTTAAAAATCGGCCACGTTGCGGTTGAACAGCGAGCGCAAAGCGATCGTACGATCTCTTTCGAGCGATCTGTAATGTTGATGCGTTCCCGTTTCGATGGCCTGGAATTAATTAGTCGAGTGACAATCGTACTCGACGATTCTCGGTACTCTCGTCTCGTTTATCTCACGCGAGACGTTTTTGGATCGCGTTTATTACTTTTGAGGGAGAGACGAGTACGAGAGGATCGTGACAATTCGCGTACCAACTCGTTGCGACAGTCAATTAGTTTTAAATTCAGCTTTTCGCGAGGAGCGATCGCAATGATGCACGATGAGCTGTCCTTAGAATCTCGGATCGAGGGACAAATGGAAAGAAAAAGGAATGAAAGAAAAAAGAATGTCGAGGGAACTTGTGGCTCTCGAAGAAACAACAGGTAAAAGAGGAGACGTAGATCTCGCCGGTCGCGACCTGGACGCGTTGCAACACGACGTCCGTCGATCGATATCCCATCGATCGATCTATCCTGCTTTCCTCATTCTTAACCTTAACCTTTTTCCACATTTTTCCTTATCCCAATCCATATATCCTTGTCCTTATCCTTATCCTTGTTTCCTCAACGACTGACGATTCCCTCCTTCCCTTTGAACCCAGTGAATTTTGTACCGAAATGCGAAACTTGGAAAAGCTACTTTCATATACGGAATTTAATTTTTTCACGAAACATGTGCATTATAAAAAATAAATGCCAAAAAAATCGCAAAACTTACGAATTGAGGGTGAAGTTTGTTACACTCTCACATCGATTATCCATATATTTCTCCTTTTTTCCGATCTATCACGTGATATTTGTAACAATTTCGTTCTTTGAAATATTTTTATTTTAATCATTATTTATCGAGATAAATGTTGCTCAAATGATCAAACTACGATGAACGTAATAATCACATAATTTTTTTTGTTTTTCTATTTCTGTTAATTTCATTTCTTCCTGTTTCGTTGTTCACAAATAGATAGTAGCGAATTCGCGTAATCAAAGGAAAGAATCAAATCGGTAAACGTTTCCTTCATCCGCCATGCACGCGCTCGCTGCAATTTCAGCCAAGTGAGTGTCTTTATGAGGCGGCATAGCGATTTTATGAAATTTGCTCGTTGCTTCAAAGAATGCCTCCAGTGCCTTCTCGGGTTGTTCTTTTTCCATTGCTTCAAATCCTCGAGTGTATAGTTGTTCGCATTCGCGCACGTGGTCCAACGGTTTTCTCAAATCAATTTTTCGTCGACAACAGGAGCATTCGAAGATGGATTTGCTGGAATTTCGTGGACGTTGGTGAATGTTAGAGCATCCTTTGGTTGGACATCTACGATCGAAAACAACTTATGAAATTGTAATCAAAAATAAACTAGGCTGTGAATATAAAAATTTTATTATAAATTAGTCTAAAGATTTTCATTGAAATGAATAGTTTCTATATAAATATTTGTAGATGTTCTTATTGTTTTAATATTTTTTTAGATATTGAATTGGTAAAGTTTTTTGATTCTGATAAAATAAATAATTTCATATATAACATGATAGATTTTATGAAGGTATTGTATGTTCTTAAAGTATTTTATTTTTGACTTTATAAATCAATTTCAATTAAATTAAAAAAAATTGTAATACCTAAACGTAAGACAAAACAATTTCTCAATCATATGAATTTAAAAAAAAATAAAAAGGAATTATTCTGAGAATAATGTTTTCTATATTTTTGAGATGTTATAAATGTTGTAAATGAACATGTGTATCCGTAAACAATTTATTTGATTAAATTTGATTAAATTTCGAATTACAAGATAATATCATTTAAGGATAAATGATAAAATTACTAATATATAAATCTTATCATTTTTTAATATTCAATTCATATATATATATTTTTAATATTCCATTCAATTTCATATATTTTGAAAAATATGAAAAATATTTATTAATACATTATAACAGTTTCATAATATTCATATAAAGTTTAAATAATTTAAAAATTAGATAGATATATAGAATATTATAGTAAATTGATCTATTTTTTTAGTTTTTTACAAAACTAATATTATTTTTCCATTAATCCAATTCTGAAACATTTGCAATATCTTCTATAATATATCTTGAATAATATATCTTTTGGAATAAATATTGAAATAAATATTATACAGAGATCAAGAAAAATTTGGTCAAAATGAAATCATGTAATTTCGATTACTGCATATCATTCTTAACTCAATTTAATTTTAGTTATAGAAAAAATATATAGTATCCTAAATTTTATTAATAAAGAATTATACTATTTGTCATGAAAAATATATTTGTATTGTTTTGTTTCGTTATTATGGAAGATTCAATTTGAATCATAATTGTTTTATATGTTGAAAACATATTGTTGAAGAGGTTGAAAAGAAAGATTTTTTGAAAAAGATAAAATTTAGATTAATTCACTAATAAAATTTGATGAATATATCAATATATCTTCTTAGATTATAATAAGATTATTTTAAACACTTTGTTATAATGAGAAAAATAAAAAAATTGGTGATTGAGCAGATGATACTAAAAAATATCTAGAAAATTACTGTATTAATATAGAGATAACAATTTGAACTCAATATTTATATAATAATCAACTTATATTAATTTTTTTTATTTTAAATTTTATTTTGATTTAATTTTAAAAAACTTTTCATTGATTTCAATGATCTTGGAATATATTATCAATTATTTTTCTTTATATATGTATCTGTTCGATTTTTAAGATATAAATATATTCATTATATATATCGTAATATTTTTCAGATTTTGATTAGATTTAATATAGTTTAAGTTAGAATAAGTTAGGTTAATAAATAATAACAAAAATTGAAATTTGTTTAAAGTTTTATACTATTATATTATTATTAATAATAATTAATTAGCAAAAATTTCCGCTATAATATCAAAAAAGATATTTATGCAAGAACTATATTGAAATTTTGAAGTTGATATTAGCATATTGATTATGTATATTTAAATTTATTTCAATTCAAAGAAAAAGATAATTCGAAATGAAGATTTTTCATTTTCATATTTTCATGAATTAATTTTGATTAGACTATCTTTTATTCTTTTTTTAAAATTATTGAAATGCAACGAATTTCTATAATTATTTTTTTATTATTTATACAGGATATTAATATATTCGTGAGATTTAGAAAGTTTGTCTCACTTTATCTCATTTTATCTATACAAATTTGAATTATATTTTAATAAATAATACTTAATCGATATTTTTGTATATCAATTTTTGTATTTGTTCTGACCTGAGAATAAAAGAATATATTAAAAATATATCTTCCAAAAGTATATACATCATAATAAAGTGGTTAAAAACAATTCATAAAAGCGTAAAATTTATTTAATTGTATAAAGGTAGTTTTTATTTTTTTTCAATTGTAATTCTAATTGCTGTCAGATTTTTATATTATAATATATAATATTATATATTTATAAAATATATAATTATATATAATAATATATAATTATAAAATAATATATAATATTATTTTTTTAAAAAAAATTCTATTCACATTTTCTTTTAAAAAATCATTAAATTCACGAAGAGATATGCAATACATGTATAATTGATTATTCTAAATCCAATTTGATTTCTTTTTGATTGTACTTCATATTCTTCCTTCAGATCTTATTTCACAACACAGAAATATTTTTATAGATTTTTATAGATTGAACTAACACAAGACAAGAGGAGAAAAAAAGAAGAACACATTCACCTCAGTCTAACATCATCGTTTGTCATAATTTCCAAGCATGGCCAGTTTTCACGACAAGCATTGCATTCGCAGAAAAACCAATATCTTCCAGCCAGATTTCTTCGTCTCTCCTCTAAGTTTCGTTTCGTGAATATAGGCCCGTAATTTTCAGCGACTACGTCTCCTGGTTGGAGACTGCGAGTTGCTCGAATCACGATACAACGACCGAGAAAATATCTAAAGAAGTGAAATAAAAAGTATAATAATTTCAAAGAATTTTAGTGTGAAAAGATATGATTGATCGAATACGAAATATCATAGTGTTTTGTTAACCAATTTTTTAAAGTACGCATGCGCCATTAGAAACTTAATACTTTGGGGATTGTGAAGATTTCAGTTTTGAATAGAACAAATTATTTGTATATTGTTTTTATAAAAATAAAAAAAAAACATAAAAATTCTATTTCATATTTCTACTTCATGAATTGTTTTTAATTAGATTAAGTTAGGTTAGATAATTTTTAGGTAATTATTTTTATAAAAAAATGACAATTAAATCTATATATGATTAATTAATTTTTTAGTTATAAAATTAAGTTTCTTCAAATCAAATCAATAATATTTGTAAAATATTAATCATATTCATATATTATGGCGCAATGATGAGATTTGCTCGTTATACGTGCAAAAAATAAATAAGAATGGTGCCCGTCCATTAAAGTATTACGTATCGTAAAAAGAAATATGAGCATCTCTAAAGAATGTTTTTCTCTCTTGTTTCTAATCAAACTAATGAAATTTAAAGAATAAAATCGAGAAAAAACAATTGTCACGAGATTTATATCTTCCATAACGAATTCTATGGAATTCTAATTCTGCGACAATTAAGTGAGCATTACTGTAATTAAAGATTGAGACTGGATTTTTAAATTCGAATTTTATGAGCTCTCGAAACTTTCTACACTTAAAATATTTATATTTTTCTTTCTTTTCCTGAAAAATATTCATCTGTCTTGTAAAAAATTGAAATGCTAACAAACTTTTAATTTCTGAAATTTTTTAAATTCAAATTCATAATTGATCAATAATAACAATAGTAATTTTTTTGCTTTGTAGAAAATTAAATATTTGTTTTTTATTTTTTTAAATTAATTATACTTAATGAATTGATGAAATTGAATAATGAATCTGATTAAAAATTCAAATTATAATACAAATGGTAAATATAATAAAAATAAATTAATATTGTTATGAATAATTTATTATTTTCGTAAATAATTTATGCAAATTATTTGTTATGATTTACTATATTCCGAAAAAATAGCAAAAAGTTTCGAAGCTTAAGAACTCGAAAAGTCTCGAATAATTTATCCCTAAAAACCACCTGGTTACCGCCGGATAACAATCGTGATTGAACCGGGCAACTGTCGGATAAATGGCTACTCCTATATAGATAGGTTTGCTACCACGAAACCGATGCTCCGTTCCAAGTCGCGTCTCGAATACTTCGTGCGCGTTGAATTGCAACAATTGAAGATGTTTCAGCAGGAGACTAGCCACTGCGATCTCTCGATCGTTGGGCATTTCTGAAATGAAAGAACATGGTTAAATTCTATTTTGAAGCATTATTTTAATTTTTTTCTAAATTTTTTTTGTATTCTTTGATAAAGGTGAAATAATATAACGATTTTGAATATATAGAAATATATTGTTTCCAAAATTATATATCTAATATAATCTAATCGATATCGAGTATTATATATAAGTAAATATAAAAGTTTAAAAGAATTGTTTTCAATTCAAACATGTTAATGTTTAAAAAACTATAATGATTTGTGCTTTTATAAGAATTTTATTTAAGACTTTTTTACTTATATATATATATATATATATATAATATAATCATAATTTTTGAATTATATAATTCAAAATATATATGTATTTTTATATATGATTTTATATATTTTTATATATAATTTTAGAAAACATGATTTTAAATATTTTAAGATTAAGAATCTTGCATTAAAATTCTAAGAAAATGTACAATTTAAAAATGCATTTGTAAAATTTTATCAATGGAAAAACATTATACAAAGTATATAACAATGGTTTTTTTCCATATGTAATAATTTAAAGATTGGAAATTTCATTACTATAATAAATAAGCAATACAAAAGTGTGTATGATATGTAGAAACATAAAAAACATATAAACACACAAGTAGGTATAAAGATGATGTGATTTTTCATGAAAAAAAAAAAAAAAATATAGAATAAAATTTTTTTTTTCTAGATTTTGTTTTCGAGAAAATTAAGTTCGAAAAGTTGTTAAGTATAATTATATTAATTAATTTTCGATTGAAAATTATTAATTAATTGCCGATAAAACGTTCTATTTTTACTTGTGAAAATAAATAAAAAAATATAGAATAAAATCACATCGCTGAATTCTAAAACTCGTTTTTCTCGAAATAAAATTAATTCTATATTTTTATTTAGAGTAAATAATCTCTTATTGATAATTTAATCATGCTGAATTAACATTTGTATACTTCTAATAAAATTTATATAAACAATCTGATTTCTTTCTTAATCACACTTCTTATAACATCTCTTCTCACCAAAGTACAATCAGAAAATACAAAAAAACATTTCTTACCCTTTCTAACTTACCTTCGTTGCTCGAGGGATTGTCGAAGAATCCAACCTTCTGCAAGCACTTGAAAAGGAACGCTGCCATCAAGGATCTTTCGAAAAAGTCCTTGGCCGTCCTTCGTTTTTCATGCATCACGAGATCGTATACTCGTAGATCCATATTTTCCACCATTTTCTCCTCATCTTCTCCTTCCTCTCCTTTTATTTCCCGACGTTCCGCTACCGTTTCCTCCCCCTTTGTCCGCCTCGAGTCTCGCAGTTTCTTCCTTCTCGAACGACGTTTCGCCGATTTGCTCAGTTTCTCCGTCGTTGTTGTTATCGTCGATGATTCTGCAATTTCCTCCCCGTCTATCACAGAATCTTGACGATTTAATGCTCGGTAAATGCGGAGGCAGCCGGCTGGACCAACTTGAGTCGCCATTCGCAAGGCGAGCATGCTCAGAACGCTCATCCCCGAGCCTGACGAAGCAACAGATGATCGTCTTTCGGAATGTGGATCAGGTGAAAGGATCGTTCTTTGTAAGCCGTGTAATATACCTATCAACAGGACCAGAATTTTGCACTCGTATTTGTGGTAGCTGGCCAAAGCTGCATCCCTGCACTTTCGTCCACAGAACGCCACGCTGCTGCAATCCGGACATCCTATCGGAGCTTTGAATCTGAAAAACAGGAGTTGAAAATCAAAGTTATGAAGAATAAAAAAAGGAAATATGGAGAAAGTTATGAAGAATAAAAAAAGAATATAATTATGAAGAATAAAAAAGGAAAAAAAAAGTGTTAAAGGGAAACGTTTTTTTTTTTTTAAGTTTCTTTGTAAACTGTGCAATGATGGACATGAAATTTTTATATATTATTATATTTTCTCTAATAATTTTCGAGAAGATGAACTTTTTTAAATGTTATTGTATATACTATTAAATACTAAATACTATTATATATATACTTAATAATTATATACATAAATATTATTGTATATATTTTTATATTATATTATATTATATATGATATATTATATTATATTATATATGAAATCATGTTTGTCAAGATGAATTCATTCATGTGCATGATCTTCAAGATTATCTATTATACATTATATATGATCTTAGTATATATTATGAACTTTTTTAAATGTTATTGTATATACTATTAAATACTAAATACTCTTATATATATACTTAATAATTATATACATAAATATTATTGTATATATTTTTATATTATATATGAAATCATATTTGTCAAGATGAATTCATTCATGTGCATGATCTTCAAGATTATCTATTATACATTATATATGATCTTAGTATATATTATAATATATATTATATGATCTTCAAGAAATGAAAGAAACATTTTGTATATTATATTGATATATTTACATTTTGTATTCATTATGACTTTCGTTAGCTAGAATATATTTTTTGTACTCTATGCAATACCCTTTTAATGGTTTTTGTTATTTTTGTTTTAGATGCCTATTGTTTTGTACAATTCATAATTGTAGAATAGTTTATATAAAACAATTTTTCTTGAATAGCATATTATTATCCAAAAAAAATTGAAACTTGACAGACCTATGGTACAAATGATTATCAATGATTCCAGATTTGTCTTTTTTGAATTTCTTTTTATGATGCACTGTTAAAAATATCGTTTATAATACATCATCAAGTGTAAATAATTTAAAAACGAAAAAATTACATAATATACAAAATGTTTGCTTTATTTTTTGCATATTTTGGTCTTGAAAATGATGGTCACATGAATGAATTTATCTTGACATAAGATATGATGGTTTCATATGTTGTAAAAACATATGTAAAAACATATGTATTGCTTTAAAAAAACTTTTCAAAAATATTAAAGAAAAAAAAATATATAAAAAATTGATGTATCATCATTATATAAAACAATTTTTCTTTCTAATACTTTTTTCTAATGTTTACTCTTTAAAAAAAAATATTATATAAATTATATAATATTTTATAAATTATATTAATTATATATTATATAAATTAATAATAGTTATAATTAAATAAATAAAATAATAATAAAATAAAATAATAAAATGATTAAACAGTTAATAGAATATTTATTATATCGATTCTTTTATTTATTTATTAATAAACTTTTATAACTTTAATACTATTCAAAGAAATAAGTGTCATTTAAAGTCAATAATCATAATATAACTTTAATATATAATTAATATATAATTATAATTTTAATATTATTCAAAGAAATAAGTGTCATTTAAAGTCAATAATCATCATTATGTCCAAAATTATTAATATCAATGTATATACATTAATAATACAAATATATTAATTAATTAGTTTCAAAGTTATTATTTGTATTTTCACTTGTGTATAATCACAAAAATATTTTTCTTTCTATTTCCTATCTATTTGGCATATATTAAACTTGATTTGCCATCAATTTTCTAAGGAATAAAGAAAGTTTCTTTTTAATATTTTATATTTCATTCTTATAAAAAAGATTGAGGTAAAAGACAAAGTATATATAATTATATATAAGTATATATAAAGTATATATAAATATATATAAGTATATATAATAATATTAATATAATATAATCATTTAATAAAATCGTTTCAGAACCGATAATAACGGTTTTTACCGTAACGGATATAAAACTTTTTTAATTTATAATTGTTATAATATCATTTTGATTCCTTATAACTGTTTTTAGAACCGATAAATAACAGTACGAAGAAATTATTTTCAGAATCGTTTTAAAACTTCTGATTTAAAAAGATTTAGTACAAAAGAAAGTAAAAATAGATTTTTGAAATAGATAGAATAGAATAGAATAGAATAGAATAGAATAGATTTATTTATATGAAATTTCACCTGATTTTCTTTTTTACATAAGTTTTAATATGCGATTTTATATATTTTGGTTCTATTGTGTAATATAATTTTTGAATAGCACACAAATTTAAATTTCAAATGTTGTATCGACACAACGCTCATTTCATGTTTCAAATTCAATTTCAGATTTATTTATTTTTTTTTGTAAAAAATAACTGTACGTAGTTTATACTTATCAAAATATAATTTTGAAATATATAAGATGTTAATATATTTGTGAAATACGTTTAGAGGATCGATTAAAACGAACGAATTTATAATTTTTATAAATTATAAAAACTTATATGAGAGTAAAAGAGAGTATAAAACTTATAAAAGAGTTGGTTGAAGCTTATTTGTTAAATTATGAATAATTTAAAATTTGCGTTTGATGATGAAACAAAATAAAGATATTTTTGAAGGATCAATCCTAGAAGCTGAAACGAATGTAAAAGTTGATATATAAAATGTAGAGTTATTTATTAAATTACAAACAAAATTAAGTTCACATTAGATAATATGAAACAATTTTAATAATAACTTTTTATAACTATTAATAAATAAATCTTAACAGATATTTTTATACATCAACTTTAATTTTATTCTCTAGAATTGATTCATCAAAGATATATCAATTCTTTAGATCAATAATCTTTTATACCATGATGTTTGAATATCATATTGCAAATAGTTAATTATTGGTTGTTCTATAGACAGTCCATATTCTAATTATAATAAGCAAAAAAGAAGAAGTGAAAATAGTAAAATATAGAACAGGTAATATTACTTGTGAAACAAATATAAATTTGTATATTTATACAAATATTTGATTAATCAATATTATTTGATCAATTTATTTTTCATTTAGATTATTGGATACTTGGCCACTGTTCTAACTGTGTAGAAATAATCGTTTGGACCAAAAACTGTAACTGCTATCGTCAGAATTGTTTATTTTGGATGAATCCTCCAAAAATGTCTCACGAAGAGAGATTATATAAGAGATATTAAGTAGTCATATTATATATTTGCCTTCTGACTGATTTATTTTAATGGAGTTCAATTTATATCTAATCCAAATATAAATATAGTAAAACCTCAATTAATTTCAACTAACTTAATATTCGAACATTCTATCTGAATTGTATTCTATTTGCAATAATGCAAATTATTTCACCACTTCAATGAAAATAATAATAATTCCATTGTAACAAAAAATATTCATTCAGATATTAAATGAAATAATATGTATGAATAATATTTTCAAATAATATTTGGGAATATAATATATTTTATATTTGTTACAACTTATTTCATATTTTATATTAAATATTCGAATATCCTACCAATCAAACATTCCATTATTTTACTTTACTTTCAACAATGTAAATTAAATTATCTTATCATAGCAATGGAAATAATGAAGGTTCTATTACAGCAAATAATATTCAAATATTGAAATGAATAATATTTTCAATTTATTTCATATTTATTTATAAAAATATTCCAGTTTTGTAACAATATTTATTACAACTTATTTCATATTTTATATTAAATATTCAAACATTCTAATCGAATATTCTATCACTCTACTTTACTCGCAACAATGTAAATTAAATTATCTTATCATAGCAATGGAAATAATGAAGGTTCTATTGCAGCAATAAAATAATAATAAATGGATAATATTTTCAAGTTATAATTATTCATGAAAATATTTCTGTTTTGTAACAATATTTGTTACAATTTATTTCATATTGTATATTAAATATTCAAACATTCTATTAATCGAATATTCTATTACTCTACTCTATTTGCAACAATATAAATTAAATTATCTTAGCAATGAAAATAATGAAAGTTTTATCGTAGCAAATAATATTCGCCCATATTAAATAACATTTATTCGAATGAAAATTTTCCAATATTTGTTACAATTTATTTCAAATTTTTCGCAGTTCTAAAAAAAAGAACATTTATTTGGAGACAGAACTAACCTTGAAAAGCAGTGTTGGCAATGGGTACCGAAGAATTCTGGAAGCAGAATAGCCGCGTGTGGCGATTCAATGATCAATCGATCTCCAGGTTCGATATTCTTGGCCGCAATCACTCGTTTGCCAGCATTCATCGTTTCTTCAACGTCGAGGAGAATCGAGGCTCCTGGTAGGCGAGGATTTTCACCACCTTTTAATACTGCAAGTAAATGAATTTGATTTGAAATGAATAGAAGAAAATCGAAGAATCGTTAATTATAAGATCGTTGTTTGATCTACAGATTAATAAAGGAAGAGTATGAGTATTAAAATTAATCTCTTGATATTTCACACGTTAAGATTCTTGGAATTTCTGATACGAATACAATACAATTAACATTCCATGAATATTGCAATTTGATATAAGTTGAAAGCCTCATTTGTAAATTATAGATAAAATGATTGCCTATTGTAAAGAGAATTATGTATTTTTGTTTAATAAATATTTTGTTTAATAATAAAAATAGTGAAAACTAAAAAATATGAATGTTCCTTTGAAAACCATTTTTAATTTTTCTCTAAACTATTTTTTTGATATAATTGCTAGTTTAGGAATAATTAGTATTTATTGATTATATAATATAATATTGAACATTCTTTTCTGTATTTATTTTTATATTTGATAAAGCATATTTTTTTTTTATAAATTTATAAATATTTTTTCAGTAATTGAAAATAACATAAATGAAAATTTTGTGAGCAAGATTTTGTGGATTTTTTGTATAAATGAATAAATAAATAATTATACAAATATTTCTTTTTAGGTATAACAGTTGAAAGAGTAACAATTTTTTGATTAAAATTTGTATGATCTTTTAATTTTATGGATGAAATGTATAGATATATATTTTTTGTCTAAATGAATATGTATAAATGAATAAAATAAATGAATAAATATTTATTATTTATACATATTTTTTTTCAAAATTTTAACAGTTCAACAATTTTTTGAATTAAAATTTTGTGAATTTTTTAATTTTATGTGATGTAAATGTAGATGTAGATGTATGTTTTATTCTGAAAAAGTGTAGCTTCAGTATATTGGCCGTCATGGTTGCCAATTTCAATGACAGAAACATACCATATTTTTCCTCGGTGGCAACCAGTGCTCCATTCCTTCGATCCGACATCTGTTCTATAGATACCAGGTTTTTTTCAGTTGCACGTAAGAATTTCTCGCACGTTTCTTTCTTCCGAGCCAACATTGTTCTAAAAGACACTTTCTTTTTACATTTTTCCAAAAATCAAAAATAGCAGTTATTTAAAAAATTAAAAAAAAAAATCGTTGAATTAAGAATTAACGTTTACTTAAATAGATGGCAGTCATAATTAAATCTTAGAGAAATTTTTTAGAAATAAAAAATTAAGAAAGAAAATAAATTCTTCTCATTATTTAGAATAATAAATTCTTCTAGAAACATAAACTCTTCTCATTATTTAGAATAGCCATTTAAATGAACTGAAAATTCATTTTGATAACCAATATATTAATGATCAGAAAATTTTTTCTTTTTGTTTAAAATGTTTCTTACATTTAACTATTGTCAATTGTCAATTGTTGTAATTAATATCCATCAATAACACAAAATTAATTGTAAAACTTATATATTTTATTAAATTCAAGAAAGATATCAAAATATATGAAACAAAGAATAAAATAAATAGTATTATGATTAAATTTTTTTTATTTAATTTATATACAGGACCTAAAGCATCTAAAACAAATCAACTAAACATCTTGGTTTATTGATGATAGGAAAAAATATATTAACCAAACTTGCATGTAAATAGTTTTTTAATAGGTAAACGCCTAGAGGTCATGCTAAGATCGTTTTTTTTTAAATGGAATGATATATTTCACATGTATTATCTAGTAAAACATTTTAAGATAATGCGCATAATGATTTGCATAATAGTACAAGGTCAACTTCATGTCAAAGTCAAATTCGAAAATAATTTATTTCATATAATTTCTTTGATTGTTAATAATATCACGATAATACAAATCATTGAATATAAATAAACATTCTGTTATATTGTTATATCATTATTTATTCCTTATCTATGAATATTAATTATTTTAAATATATTTTAGTATAGATTGTAATGTGGCTTATAAAATACGTTATTTAAGAATGAAGAATATAGTTGACTAGATTTAATACTTTTAGATTTTTCTTTATAGGAAAGATTAAATTAAAGAGTACAATAAAACAGAGAATCGATAATTAGAAAAGAAATGAAAGAACAAAATTTGGCATGCCATAATATCTTTTTCGCATTGTTTTACAGCATGTATGTTCAAAATTCATCACTTTATACATTTAAATACTAATATATTGATAAATTGCCATTATATAAATAAAGTATTTGATTATTTATATTAAGAGTAAATTATTTTCTCTTATAATTGATAATAAAATCTTTATTGATTATGAATAATCTTGAACCAATAACATGGATCAATGTATGCATTTTAAAATGTTTTACTATGACATTTTACAAAAATATATTATTTCATATGAATTCTACTTATCAAAAAATTATTTACTTATTATCAAATTATGATAATCTCATCGTGCAAATTTAATCTGATGCATTTTTTCTTTATCATTAATAACAATCGAGATATTCAGGTGGCTTATTTTAAATTCTCTTCATCTTATATAATATTTAATATTTTAATTTTCTATTTAATTCTATTCTTTGTTTCATGCATATTCATATCTATCTTTCCATAAATTTTATAATAATTAAATTTATATTATTGATATATTAAATAATCATAACATTGATAATAATCGAATGTAATCATAAAATATTTTTATAGATTGATTAAGAGTAACAAAAAAAAAAAGAATTCTTATTTCTCATTGTTATTGATTATTGAATAACTAAAATAGATAATTTTAATTATTTTTAATCATTATTTATAACAAAGATCATTGAAAAAAATATATTGATTTTCTTAATTTTGAATAATTTTTAAAATGACACTTATGATCTCTGTTTCTTTCATCTTCCTATCAAACAACTACTTCTTTCTTCACCTTAACTCGTTTGGTAGAAAATGATTCATCTCCTCGACGAAAGTCAAATCTTCCAGAGCGAACCGATATTCGTTCCATGTGAGAAAAGCTTCGGCTCTAGCTAGAAATGCAAGTGGCAATCCTAATCCTCGATCGACTGTCTTACATTTCCCTGAAAAAAAAGAAACAAGAGAAGAGAGAGGAAGATCGCTAGTTCGAACGAAAAAATTAAAATTAAAATTAAATTCTTTTCAAAATAATTATTTTGCTTTTATTTTATTACAAAAATCTATATTTTTCTTTTTTTTTGTTACAATTTTTGTAGTTCCATGATTTTTTCTCCAGAATAGCATATTGAAATGGATTATATGTATTTATATATATTATATATATAATTAAAATTAATGTATATTATATTTTCTCATTTATGATTTCGTACATAAAAATAATTTTTATAAAATTAATTTTTGAAGTTTTGGACTTTCAATTTTTAAAAATTTTTTTAAATATTTTTAAAAATATTTTTTGACTTTAATTTCTATTGCTACATGTATTTCTATTGTTACATTATTAAAAATTATTAGCATTTCAAAATGTATATATGTAAAACGATGTATTATAAATTTTTGCGAAATAATAAATTTCTTTAATATAATTCATTATTCAAAATTATTAAAAATATACAAAGAATTATTTTATAAAAATAGAAATTATTTTGTGAACGAAAATTTATAGAATCAATTAAATATATATTACTATACATTAATAATATATTTAAAATCAACAGAGAATAACGTTGAATTTTTACCTTGAATACATTGAAAAGAAAAAATGAAATAGACAAAAAAATTTATTTGGATAAAAATGATGACAAATATTCTATTAATATATTATATTATATTAATATACAATTCAGTATATATATATATATATATATATTGAATAAGAGATATCAATATAGTTTGAGATATTTGGTATTATTTTTCCTTTGGTATTATCAATTTTTATCTAGATCATCTAGGATGTTTATGCAAATGCTATCATAATTTACCTATTTTTACACGAAATAAAGATAAAAAAATGAAACAAAAATATCTATATTTTTATCATTGTCCACTTTTATCGTAGAACTAAATTCTAAAAATATATTTTTTATTTTACATATTTTGCATAATGCATATTTTATGCATATTTTTTTGCATAACGTGTACATATTCTTCGCATGAATCATTTGTTAATTCTTAAGTAAGTTACTAATGATTTTTTCCTATTTTTTTTTTTTTGATTTTCCAAATTATACATAAATATATATATATATATATATATTTGATAACAACAATGTTTTAATAAATATAAATAAAAATCATTAGTTTTGAATTTAAAAAAAGATATTTTTAACGCTAATCTTTTATCCATTTCAATATACACTATTTTCCATAAAAATATGCATACATTGAACAATATTCGGTTCATTTCTCTTAACAATAATTTTCGATTCTTTAATATATTTAATAAAGCAATTGATTTGTTATATATTAAACTCTATAGATAAAAATCTATTGGATTTAAATAGAACGTACTTTTATGAAAAAAATGTATTGAAATATACATTGAAATAAAAAAAGAAATACATAATATAGAAATAATATTTTATTGCAATAAAATATCTGATAACTCCAAAATTAATGATTTCTAATGATATGCTTTTAAAATTTGTACTCAACTTTTTTCTACAATGTACATTTATATTTTTCATATACATATATCTATATCTAAGAAACGATTAATCACATTGTCGCACTGATAGTATTTTCAAGAAATAATTTTCGAAAATTTTACTTTCAAATATATTCGCACCTTTATTGACAAAGAATGATGGTAATATAATGGCAATCATAAGAATATATGATTTTCTGTGGCCATCAAAAGGAATCGTAAATGATATTTACTCGATCGTTTTGAATTTTTTAAATAAATAAAATACATTTCGAAAGGATACATTTCGAAAGGATCAATACATTTGCAATTCACGTTTGTTCCTATTTTAAAGACACCATAACGATATTCTATATTTTGTTTTTCACATTTATATATCAGTAAATATAATAATATAATATAATATATATAATAATAAATATAATATAACATATAATAAACAATAATATAATAAATATATATATAATATATATATTATATTAATATATTATA